GGGGGGGGGGAATATGTTTATATGGCGGCTTTTCTTTTTCGTTTGAGAAATCATACGATTTGTCAAATTACATGAGCTCAGAAGTTGAAAATGACAAACATGGCCATTTAACCGGAGTAGCTGAGCTCGTTCCTCTTTTGTTCAGATCTGTTTATCCCTACGGCAGCGGGTGTCCGGTCTGGGACCGGTGCTTGTCTGGTTCGGTTCAAGATGTTCAGGTTTAGGCTGCGGAGCATGCATGGAAGGGGAGGGGGGCAAGGCCTATTAGTAGAGCAGACAAAAACTACACAACCTGTCGTACATGTTCTGTGTTCGCAATGTGATGAATGACCATGCAATCCCAATCTTTGTATCAACAAATATGTTCACCGATGCTTTCTGTCATGTACCCTGGATACCGATTGGATTCCACCTTGATTGGGGTCGTGAATAGCTGAGCCCAGAGTTACGCGCCCTGCCTATAATCAATGCACCTACCACGCCCCCTGATGTTTCTCGAACCAAACACGATAGGCAACCTATCTATCTATCTATCTATCTATCTATCTATCTATCTATCTATATATATATATATATATATGTATAGTAGATATATACCATATACAAGCCATACAGACTCCCCGGATCCGACTGAGTGCGTCACACTTCGGTGGTTCTCCTAGGCGCTGAACACCAACTGAGGCCCTCCTTCCTCGCTGGCCCTAGCTATTAAAGACAGCACTTGGAGCTTTTTGTGGTGTTTAGGTTGGGTTCAAGGTTTAGGGTTCATGCAGTGTTCACAGCTTACGGGCTGTAGGGCCCAGGGTGTAGGGAGAGGATTTACGGTATTTAGGCGTTTGGTTTCTCACGGTTTTGGATTTTGTTGGTCAGATGTTCCGTGGGTCCCCAGGTGAGAGAAAGGCCGAGTTGGCAAAAGCCAAGGAGGCAGAGAACAAGGCACGGAAATGGCTGCGGCCCAGCAACGCCCATCAGACGAGATAGCCTCGAACCCTCTGACTGGGGCAAGCCGAGCAGCGGCCTCCTTGAGAAGTCAAGTTTGGGTTAACCAGGGGATCAGAATCGCTGAATCCTTGAACCACACCAGCCAGACTAGATCCCCAAACATAGTCCTACGCCCCTAAACGCCGTGAGGACTCCCAGAACCCTGACAAACATGAACATGAGAAGATGAGAAGGGTTCAGGATGCAGGGATCCCCGAGCAGCACATAAGTATGCTGAGTCTGCATCCCGGACTAAAGCGCCCTCATGGAGGTCACCTTCCTCCTTAAATGGTGAAGTCTAAACCCAGAGCCCGAAACCATCCCGCTGCAGAGCCTTGAATCCCCCGAAACCTCCCAAAATCCGGAGACGCTCCATTGCCAGGCGAAGGACAAGGAGAAGCGAGACAGAAAGAAGGAGAAGGGCGAGGACCTGCCTCTGCGTCTTAGAATTCCAGAGCGTATCAGAACCCCAAACCCCAAACCCAAACCCTTAAATCCTAAACCCCTTAACCCTAAACCCTAAAGCCTAAACCCCTAAATCCTAAACCCCTAACCCTAAACCCCTAAACCCTCAATCCTCAGCCCAGGGGGTCTGGTGGGCGTTTTAGAATTCTGGAGCTTCGGGGTTGTTTCGTGCCCAAAGCCTGCAATCCGAGTTCCAAACCCGAAGCCCTCAGCCCAAAACCTCGTAACCTGAACTCTCAAACCTCCAACCCTAAGCTCCTTAATCCCACTGTAAGCCTTCATTCCTGAACGCTTGAAACACAAAAGAGGAACAGATGAAGCACACACACACACAAGCCAACAAAAGACACCGCATGGTTTCGGAAGGACGGCCGTGGCACAGCCACTGGCCGCGAGCGCAAAGGCCGCGGAGGGATTTCCGGGGCTTTCTGAACTCCGAGATTCCAAGTACTCGCTGGTTCGGTTGTGTTTTGTGGGTTTAGGGTTTATGGTTCGTGGGGTTTGTTTTAATAGAAGTTGATGAGGGTCTCTATCGGAGGCTCGTAGGGTTTGTTTAGATAGAAGTTGAAGAGGGTTCACATCGGAGTTTTGTAGGGTTTAGATGTCAGTTGATAAATTTCGGATTACGTGCCATTGTTTACGGGCAAGTCACTTGATGCACCTTGTGACTCTTTGCCTTTTTGTTTGGGGGGGGGGGGGGG